GGGGGGGGGGGAAGGGGGAGGCAGGGACTCCCTTCCCCCACCAGCACCCTCCATCCCCTGCTGCACAGGGAGGAGATAGAGGTCTTCTTTCTCTTCTCTTGACAGCACTGGGTGTGGGGATGGGCTGGTGCTCACTCACGCAAGCACCAGTCTAGCCTGCAAAGCCTCATGGGATATGAAAAAAAAAAAAAAGCGCCAGAAATTAATGCTCTCGGGGAACCTGTGTGCAGGTTCCCTCAGGCACTCTGCCTTAGCGAGCCCCTCTCTAATACTTCCTCAGACCAGGTTTAAATTTTCATGCGATTAGCCACTTTAAAAAAAAAAAAATCACTCTGCAGTCATGAGCATTTGTTATGTTACGGCTGCAAAGCACTTTCGGAGGCCTCATCACATGAAAAATGTAACTTCTGTCAGCGGCCACATGCATTATTCCTTGATGCATCCAATCACATGTTAAGATGTACATGCAGCTAAACATCATTCATTTTTCTGGAATATTAGTACATTATCAGTTTAATCTATTTTCTTAATTTCTTGACTATTTTGTCAACTTCCAAGTCACCCAGGAAGCTACACCTTGGTTGATGAGATACTGAAGAGATAGATGATGTTTACCATCAACTCTTAACCACTGAGGTTTTGATACCTTCTGGTCCCCTAATTTAGTCACTATGGGCTCTTATAGATGTGCAGGGAGCCAGCTCCAATGCTCTGGAAATCCAGCACGTCAGAGCAGACTCAATTAATCAAGTCTGTTGGAGCACAGAAATAAATGTGCTCCAGCAGACTCATATGTATCGGCCTCCCTGCACTGAAAAATGGCAGCAGAGTGCTTTGAACTAAAGCTCAGATGAGCTTTAGTTCAAAGTGCCCTGCTGCCATTTTTCAGCATGAGGGGCACTGATACATGTGATGCTCAGGTGCTTTTAATTACCGTGGCTCACTGATTAAAGTGCTCCCCCCACCCCCAGAGCATGGGTAAAAGTGCCCTACATTCTTGTTACATTCCAAGGTGGGTCTGATCATCAAGCCATCCTCAGTTCCTACCCATCCTATGGCAGCCCCTGGTTTAGCCAACATCTATCCTGTGCCAAAGGCAAAGTACACCTAATTTACAAATATTGTAATGTTACTGTGGCAGCGCAGGGGCCTGGGGTGCCGTGACCTCCCCTAGCACCCCCTGGCCACCGTGTCAAGCCGGTGGCAATGCACCCTCACCAATCTCGCCTGCCACGTCTTCGACAGTTTAAGTGTTTAGGGGAGGCTTCCTTTTCTATTTTGCTTTGACACGGTGCCTTGATGTCCAGTTGCCCTGGTGCCCTCTAGCATTAGTAGGACTTACAGGTAGCCCCTGTCACCCACACTGGGGCTAGTCTTGCACACTCATGCCCGCACTGGGGCTTTCCCACAATTGGGGCTCAGGCAGCCTCGGCCTTACCTGGCCCCCAGACCCCCTTTTCCAGGTCTTACACCCCACTGGGGCTTTCCCACAACTGGGGCTCAGGTAGCCTCAGCCTTACCTGGCCCCCAGACCTCTTTTCTGGGTCCTACACCCCACTGGGGCTTCTTGCATCCACCCACACTGGGCTCCTCCTGAAGCTGCCCACACTAGGGCCAGGGTCAGGGCACCCCACTGGGGCCTCCTCCAACCCCTACAGCCTCGCCCAGTCCTCCAGTTCTAGCAATAACCAGAACTATAAGCCAATTAGCTGTAACACAAAACCCTAACTCAGACTCTAGCCCCCTGGCTTAAAACGCAAACCCTGAGCCCTCCTGCTCATCTACATTACCATCCCTGCCAGGGGATCCTCTGCCTGGTATTCTCGCCCATAATCTGCTCAGGTCATCAAGCCTCTCATCTCTGCCTGCTCCTGGCAGAGCTTTCTCCTTCACAGCTGCCAGAAGGGAACTACCTTTCTGGCCTCAGCCTGTCTGTTTATAAAGGCCAGGCCCTGCCCCCTCCTGGTCACCTGACCCAACTGGTTGTCTCAGCAACCCCCACCTGTGCTGCCCTGATGAGTGGCGGCTGAGCCCATTTTACTGTTACCAGTAGCAGGCACCCTAGTGTCCTGCTACAGTTACATATACAATTTCAGTATGAAATAACTATGGGTTGTAGTTAGGTTCCCAGTGGTCCATAACATTTAATTACTTTTTGTCATCTCACCTGAGTTATTCTGCTCTGCAACATAGTTTTTTTGCATCCTGAACTTTGCAGAAATATATGGAAAGGGCAAAGTAACAAGAAGGAGCTTTCTTTAAAATACACTCTGTCTTATCTCTATGTTTGGCAATTTTTTTTCCCATGAATTTTCTCTGGTTTCCTGCTTAAACATTTTAAACTGTGTTGGTACACACCATCCACCAGAAGAGAGCTCTGTACCAACAGCTCTAAAGAGATTAATCAAAGATGGATTCACCTAAGAAGGATCAAGTAAGTCCATCAGAGCAAGTATGTCCATATGTGTGAGGTACAGGTATATGTAAGTGCAAACAAGAGATGAGGTAACAGGGTCCCTGCCCTATTACTGAGAAGGGAAAGGGAGCCCAGGGCCCACTGATTAGCCCACCCTCTTTGAACAGGATTAATAAAAAGAGACCTAAATAAAATGGTGTAGTCAGTGATTTGTGGCGTGGGACAGAAATAGAGGGTCAGGTGACCCAAGGAAAGGCTCAAAAACCTAGGACTTAGCCCAAAAGAAGCAGTCTAGCTGTAGGAGCTGCTGAAGATAGAGCTCCATGGGGGGAGCTAGTCTAGACTGCCTGCAGGAAAGGACTGTGTACCACAGAAGGGCAGAAAAGACCCTGTGCTACAAGCAACATGAGGTAAGTACTTTGAACCTTCTGCATTTGTGCAGCCTCAGGGTGAGAATGAATCCCCCCAAAGGAGCCTCTGTTTGGTAAAGCTTATGTCTGGGAGTAGATGCTCATACTTCTGATTTACATTTGAACCGGAGGAGCTCGAAGGGGTGGATTAGAGGCTGCAGGGGTGCAGCACAGGCACTCAGTTCAGAGTAGTCCTAGGAGCTGGAGTGTCATGTGGGCTCAGAGGGCTGAGCTGAAGCTGGGTCCTGAGAACCTAGGGTCCTGATGCGGTGGACCCAGGGTCGTGGGACCCAGCTACAAGAACCTAGCCCAAAACCTGCATCTGTTCTGGGGCAGCCTCCCTAAAAACCTAGAATACCAAGTCATGGCAGACAAAACCATAAGGAAGCAGGTCTTGGGAAACCCAAAAGCAAGGGGGAGGAGGTCGAAGCCCAGTGGCAAGCCAGGCCAGAAACCCTGTCACTTCAGCAACGAAACTTTGACCTTACAGATGATTGCTGGAAGGAAGAAGGGAAGGCTTCTATCTACATGGAAAACTTTAAACATGTCAAATGATATGCCTAGAACAGTGGTTTTCAACCATGCATACCCCTAGGGGAACTTTAA